CCCAACTTGATTGCTAAGTCTACAAGAAGCAAGCAAAAATTTGAGTGGGACCTAAATACAGATCTCACCAACTAATATGACAGATCATTCAGAAAACATAAATAAATCTCAATTATTAGATAAATGTATAATAGTTTGATGACCAACTCTGTTGACCTTACATGCTAATCGAATCGAAGGACCATGATATTCATGCCCCTTGCACATTATATCTATTGGATCATCAATATCTTCTTTCGTATGCTAAGAGAAAACATGATCCAACTGATCTAATCAAACATTGGTGGTGCAATCACTATAAATTGCAAGTTCATGATCGCCCCGGGAGTCCTATAAACAAAGTTTGTTGGACTGGGAGTTTACTATCTTAAATGCATTTTTTGACGAGCTCATTTATCTTTTTGTGATTATTAGAGGCTATGGCTATTTCAACACCTTAAAAATATAAAAATTCTCCACCCACCATAGTCTCAATCTATCAAACTGCCTTAAATGACAAAAGCACCTTGTAAATTAGGCCAATCACATGATGTATCATTGAATTAGGAACGGCAAATGCCATCTCTCTGTTGTTGCACTTCCATTTATATATCCTCCATAAACTCTTGAAAGAAAAAGCAGAGCAGGATCCCTTCACCCCGGAAGAGCTATGGCGGAGGCGGTCGTCTCGAAGATAGCTAAAATTCTGGAAGATTTCGCAGAGGACAGGGAAAATATGGGATGGTCACGAATTTCAGATGCTCAAACAAACCGTTTCCACTCTCCAAGATGTAGTGCACGATGCGGAAAAGCAGAACCTCAGAGCATGGCTTGACGATCTCAAAGCTGCTTTGTATGATGCAGAGGACTTGCTGGAAGAATGGAACGTTGAAGTTATGCAACGAGAATTGCGGAGCAAAGATGAGAAGTTGAAGCAGGTAAATACCCTCTTTTCACCTTCAAACGAACTTGCTCTAGAGCTGAAGAGCAATAGGAAGAGAATAGAAGCCATCGCTGCTAGAGGGAAGTCTTTTCAGTTGCGAGGGTACGCGAAAGATGTGCAAGTAGAGAGAAGATCGAGGAACCGACAGCGGTCAGACACCTCTGTGTCCGAGGAGGAGATCATAGGGAGAGATGGTGCTAAAAGGGCAAGCGCTGCTAAAGGCGCTTTATATTCTGAGTTGCGAGAGTACGCGAAGGATGTGCAAGTAGAGAGAGGATCAAGGAAGAGAGAGCAGTCGGACTCCTTTGCATACGAGGAGGAGATTATAGGGAGAGATCATGCTAAAAGCGCAATTAAGAAGTTCTTGTTGGACTCTGACGCTGAAAAGAAAATTTCCGTCCTTTCAATATGTGGTCCGGATGGGATTGGAAAGACTGCTCTTGCTCGATGTCTATACAAAGATGACATGGTCAACCAGCATTTTGATTTAAGGATATGGATCTGTGTGGGTGACGCCATGTCTAATTTCAAAATGGTACTGCAAAAAATCATAGAAAGTGCAACAACAGAGAGAGCAGATGACATTGAGTCGGAGAGTTTGCAAAATCAACTAGTGGAACACATTCGTAGGAAGAAATGTCTCCTAGTTATGGACGATGTAAGGTGGTTCGAGTTTCCTGCACAATGGGGAAGCTTGAAAAGTTTATTTATGGGAGGTGCCGAAGGAAGCAAGATTCTGATAACTACATGCGATCGGTTAGTTGCGCATTTCATGGGCACAGCCTCATCTTATTTCCTTGAGGGCCTTTCTGAAAGCTCATCTTTAGATTTATTGATGAGAATGGCATGTAAGGAAGAAGAAGAGACTATAGGTTCAAAAAAGCTAATTATCAGGAGGCAGATAGTCAACAAATGTCGTGGAATCCCTTTGGCTCTACGAACATCCGGGAAGTATACTATTCTTCAAGAAAACTGAAGCTGAGTGGTTACGTTTTGAGCGGGAGATCCCAAATTATTCTGCGGAATCGGATTATTATGGGGTAATCACACATGTTATAATTAGTTATCAGCATCTCCCATGCCATCTAAAACAGTGCTTTGACTTCTGTTCATTGTTTCCCAAAGATTGGGTGATTGATAAACTAATGTTGACGAGTCTCTGGATAGCTGAAGGATTTATCCAGCCCATAGACAACGTAGATCGGGATAGGGAAGATATTGCTCACGACTATTTCATGGCTTTACTTAGGAGGAATTTCTTTCAGGACTGTACTAAAGATGAACTTGGAAATGTGACCTCTTGTAAGATGCATGATTTAATGAATGAGCTAGCATGCACAGTTGCTCAAACTGAGTATTCTCAACACTTTTTTCAGCTCCGGTCACCAATTGGTGAAAGAACTCGTCATGTATGCTGGGATTCAACTTTAGATTTATCACGGGGACTTCCCACTACTCTACTCAGAGCAAAACATCTGAGGACGTTCTTCAAAATAGATCAAACAAAAAGCTCAAGGTGTGAAACTCAATTAGGTGAAAAAACTCTTTGCGAACTTATTTCTATATTCAAGTTCTTGCGCACCTTGAATTGCCATGATAGTGGTATTGAGAAGTTACCAAGTTCCATTTGTGAGTTGAAGCACTTGACATTTCTAGATCTCTCTAAAAATGAAGGAATCATAAGGCTTCCTGATTCTGTGACAAGACTGCAAACCTTGCAAGTACTTAAACTCAATATGTGTTACAAGCTAATAGAATTGCCAAGGGATATGAGAAAATTGGTCAACCTCAGGCAACTGGAGATTAGCAACTGTAATGCCCTATCTCATATGCCACATGGGTTAGGCCAGTTGACTCTTTTGCGCACTTTAACAGATTTCCTTTTGCCTGGGGATGATTATTGTCCAAAGAATTATGGTGGGCTGGGGGAGTTGAACAGGTTAAGCCATTTGAGAGGATGTCTGAAAATCGAAGTTAAGGGAGAAATAGAAGATGCAGTAGCAGAATCAAATGCTGCAAACTTGAAGGAAAAGGATTCCTTAGTTTCACTAGTATTAGTGTTTGCCGGGAAAGGAAGTGATGAAGTTCTACTCAAAGAGCTGCAGCCAAGCTTAAATCTTGAAGCTTAGAAATAAGAGGCTATGGGGGCGCAAGGTTTCCAAGCTGGATGTCTCACATGCCTAAGTTAGTTGAGCTACGGTTGTTTCATTGTGCAGGATGCAAAAAGTCTCCCACCACTTGGTGAGCTTACGAGCCTCAAGCGTTTGGAAATTGGTGAGCTACCTCTGGTGGAATACACAGAAAGTGATCTTCATGCCCCCTCTCGTCACTTCCTAATCTCTCTGCACTAAGGATATGGGGTGTCCTAAGATGGAATGGATTCCGCCCCTTCTACATATCAAGGAGTTGAAACTTCCTAGTTTTCCTTTGGAGTCGTTGCAAACCTCAGTTGCCACTATTGAACATGTAATTGGTATGGATGATCGAGTGAAGGATGTACTCAAGTTATTGGAAATAGATGATGATGAGGTTGGAGTGCGCATTGTTGGAATCCATGGAACTAATGGAATTGGCAAGACCACTATTGCGAAGGCCGTATATGACCAACTCTCCTCTTGTTTCGATGGTTGTAGCTTTCTAGCAGAGATTGGAGAAACAATACAAAAATGCTGGTGGTATTCAGTTTGTGCAAACTAAGTTGATATGTGATATTCTTGGGCGAGATGGTGACGTTGCTTCTTTCGAAGGAGGAATCAGGTTTTTCCTGGATGTATTTCGCAATATAAAAGTTCTGATTGTCCTAGATGATGTGGAAGAACAGTCTCATCTTCATGATCTTGTAGGAGACCAGCTTGACTGGTTTGGTTCTGGAAGTCGGATAATTGTCACTTCAGAAAATGGTGGAATTCTCCAAACATATGATTCTCGAGGCCTGGTCCGTACATATGAAGTGAATGAGATGGATAATGATCGAGCTCTTGAACTTTTTGCAAGCATGCTTTAGGAACACACGGTTTAATACCTGGCTATCCTGAAATTGGGAAGCGCATTATCAAAGCTACGGGGCGGGTTCCATTTACTATTGAAGTTATTGGTTCATTTCTGCGTGGAAAAACAATAGAAGATTGGAGGAAGATAGAGGACTTGATAAAACCACGGAAGGAGAACTCTCGAGAGATTTTGAAGGATTGTAGGGAGATTTCGAAAATCTGTTATGAAGCATTAGATGAAAAGCAGAAACAAATATTTTGGGACATAGCATGGTTTGCCAATGGCGTGGATAGCCGAATTGCATCATATATGTGGCCCGATCAAGATCCTTTACCTTCTCACCATGTTTTGATGCCCCTAGTAAAAATTGGAGCAGGCAACTTGCTGTGGATGCATAAGCTGTTGAAGCACCTCAGTGGATCTATAGATAAAGAAGGATATCCTAGAAGGCGCAGTAGACTCTTTTTGCATGAAACAGACCTGAAAGTAATCAACAGCAAAGAGGTAAAGGCTTATGGTTCAATGGTTTACTTTCCACCGTAAAATGAAAGCTTTGACATAGAAGGTCTAATATGCTATCCAGCTTTACTTATTTTACCATCTAAAGGTTTTCTTTGCATGCACGGAAAAGAAAGCATCCTAGTCCTTATCACATAGCCAAATTGTCAAATCAAATTTTATAGCTTCAGATTATTTGTTACTCTTGGCAAATGTAGGGGAATGGAAGAGGTGGAAGTCCTATGTTTTGACTTCAAAAACTGCCGTCCCCATACATTTACAGAAACAAATTTCAAGAGCATGCCAAACGTAAGGTTCTTGAAATTCGATCATGCAAGTATGACTGGAAATTTCACAAATGTATTTCCAAAGTTGAGGTGGCTTCGTTGGCAAGGGTGCCCAAGCGATTTCAAAGCAACAGAATTTAATCTGACTGAACTGGTCATTCTTGATCTTTCATGGAGCAAAGTGACCGAAGACTGGGGAGGTTGGATGAAAATCAAGGTGGTTTCCTATTACTACTCTAATGCATTTATTCTGTTAATTATCTGGCAATTGACCTTATGATGTTTTCTCTTCTGTTTTATAGATGGAGCAATTGAAAGTCTTAAATCTCACCGGTTGCACTGACTTACTGATAAGTCCTACATTTTCTAGCTTCCCAAAATTGGAGATACTAATTCTAGAGAGATGCTCTCGGTTGGTCCATCTAGATCCTTCAGTTGGTGGTCTCAAAAATCTACTTTGCCTGAATTTGAAGTCCTGCTCTGAACTCAACATGTTGCCTGCCGAACTGGGTGGCTTGGAAGCTTTGAAAGAACTCCTCATTGATGAAACTTCTGTGCAAGAGATTCCCTTGGAAGGTGATTTAAAGAAACTTGAAACTCTTTGTGCCTCCAATTGCTTGTCATTGAGTCTCTTGCCCCATTCATTTGAACACCTGACATCACTTACAATACTCTCAGTAGATAATTCAAAGATTACCAAACTCCCTGGTGGAGTGGGAGAGCTAGTGAAACTCCGACGTTTGTCATTGAGGAATTGTCGTTGGATACGAGAACTTCCAGACTCCATTGGTCAATTAAGCTCTTTAGAGGAGCTTGATATGTCGGGAACAGGCGTTGCAAAAATACCAGATTCCTTTGGAAATTTGCGGAGGTTGAGAGTGTTAAAGATGGACTATTGCTTCATAATAGAATTTCCTAGCTTTATTGGGCGGCTACATAGCCTTGAAGAAATACATGCCTCCTCGTGTAGGAGTTTAAAAGGGGAGATTCCTAGGGACATTGGGAAGCTAGTTCATCTGAGAATCTTGAGGCTGCAATATTCTGGTATTTGGAGCCTACCCTATGAAATCAAGCATCTTTCCAAGCTGGAGACTCTTGATCTACTTCACTGCGACATGCTTCATGAGTTGCCAGCACTTCCCTCTGGTTTGGTTAACGTGCGTTTGAGTCCAACACTGAAGGAAACAATGTCTTATCTTTAGAATCTGTCTCTGTTTCGAAGAGTTGGTGCTGGGTTTTTAAGATCACCTCCAGCACAATTGGGGGAATTTGTTTCGTTATTGTGTAACTTAGATAACAAGGTCATTGAAACCAGTCTTTGTCCCATTAGCATCTAAATACTTTTTTATAGCAAAGATACAAAAGTATACAAAATGAGTATTCAAATAAATAAGTTGGTGTTTGTACTTTGTAGTAAATATATTTGGAGTTGGCACAAACATATCAAAAGGTGCTTTTTCCCCTAAAAAAAAAAGGGATGAGCATACTAGAAGTCCTAAAACTTGTCACTTAAAGTATAATTAAGTCTTAAAACTTATCACTAAAAGTACAATTGAGTCTAAGAAGTTGTCACAAAGTGTAATAAAGTCATAAAATTTTTAAAAAGTGCAATTAAGTCATAAAACTTATCACGAAAGTGCAATCGAGTCCTAAAACTTTTAAAAAGTGAAATCAATGGAAGAACTTGATTAGATCAATTTGACAAGTTTTAAAACTTGATTACACTTATTGAAAGTTTTAGGACTCAATTGCACTTTCGTATAAGTTTTAGAACTTAATTGCACTTTTTAAAAGTTTTAGGACTTAATTGCACTCCGAGTGATAAGTTTTAAGACTTTCAATGCACTTATCTAAAAAAAAAAAAACAAGATGAGTGGTTGTGTGTGATTTTGTTTTTTTTTTTCTATTGACTGGTGTTTGCAAAATATTTTCTCGGGGAAGTATAGATCCCTATTTGTGTAAAGAAGTATAGCATCATCCAAAAGAGTGGAATTGATAGTTCATAAATCATACATAGATTACAACCCATTTTCATGGTGAAGGCCTATAATGCTTTCTCTTGTTGTCAGCTTGGAGAAACGTGGACTAATTGAAAAAAAAAAACAAATTAAATTAGAATGAGCCTAATGTGGAATTATACAATTCGAATGTCTCTTTTATGTGTCTATGTATAGCTGGGTTACTGTAATCAACTACAGGTTATCCTGCTATCTTGAAAACGAATGAATTATCAATCAAAAAGAGAATAATTCAACCAAAAAACATACATCAACAAGAAAAATGGCACAGAGGTAGAAAAGAGTAAGTTATCGGTATATTATGGAAAAAAGTACAACAAAAGCATAAAAAAGAAATCACCAGGATGTGCGTCGAGGGTTGCGCTTTGGTTATTTTCAACTTAGGAACCGAAGTTTACCCAAGAAATCTTAAACATGTTGTATACTTGATGCCAATGCAATCATAAATTTTCCAATTTAGCTAATGTAATCCTAAACATATTGACAATTTTTAATATAATCCATTCTCCATCTTGCCTGCAACTTAATGGCTAAAAATAGCTCAAAGCCCAACATCACATCCGGTCCATCGCCTTAGCCATAATTTTATGTGCCACGACCGGTGACGATCGCCTACACACCATGAGAACTCATAAGCCAAATTAGCTTCACTGTGAGCTCCAAGTGAAGTAATCGAACCTTTGTTCATCTAATCGAGTAATTTTGAAATTAGGCCAATTTGAAGTTATGTGAATTTCTTGAACTACGATGCTCAATTGAGGAGTTATTAAGATGTGGACTTATATAGAAATGATAGTTTAAGGCATTGTGAAGCTTATAGGGTTTGGCGAAAATTGATTCCAAAGTACAAATGACTGAATGAATTTTAAGGCCTTTGTATGCAATATATGTGTAATGGACAAAGATGAAACGGCTCATAAATGAGTTTCTTCATAGCATGTAGAAGTCGCTTTTATCGATGATTGCCTGAGTTTAATCGAGCCGTTAGTTAGAGTAGGGCTACTTGATTTTGATATAGTCTTTGATTAATTGATAGGAAATATGAGTTTGTTGGTTCAAGAAACCTTCGTTGGTTGGTTTTCTAATCTTTCCTAGGTAAGCAGCGTTATCTCTTCTACGAGTTTGTAAAATCATGAAGCGATATGGATTAGATATATTATCACTTATGAAATGGCATTTTTATTGCATAATCAAGCATTTACGATCATTTTGTCTATTTAAAATGGAAAAGTATATGTTAATTATAGTTTAAATTGATTACCTATGAATGGATTGCGAAACCTTGTTACGAAAGAATTACAAAATGTTCTTGACTTTGAATATGGTTTACAAAAAGTTCTATGTTTGATGAACTAAATCGTGAAAAGAAATATGATTTGGTTAGTAAAGCCGAGTTCTGGAAATGGATTTTGGATTTGATTGTGGGTTATTAGAGAATGTTGTTAGGTGGATTATGCTCATGTTGCTATGATTAGAACCCACTGAGGGGTAAGTATCGGGAATATTATCAAGATGTCCTTCTATAGGTGGAGACCTAGCCGTAGGATAAACTTGGTCACCTTTGTCACGGGCATTTGGCGGGAGTATAATTGAGCATTAGATTAGTCGATGAAACGAACTATCGACGCTTGATCAGATAGTAGACTGACTCAATGTGATGAACCATTGATGATTGATTTGTTATTGATGATTGATCTGAAATGCAAAAGTTTTATTGAAAAGGTATGGTCCACTTTCGGATAGTTTACGGATATCGTATAGTGGATATGGAATTGATGAGCTATGATATCATTTTCTAAAGACGGATAGTGAATGTCGGATTCGCTTTGTAATATATGTACTTCTCACTTCAAAGTTATGATTGTTCATACATTCTTTCCAAGTCATTTTCAGGTTCAGCTAGTGACAAGTAGGACAAGCGATATCGACGGGGAATTTTGATAGTTGAATCTTAGTTATGAGTTAAGATAGATAGATATACCACCTAAATGGTATTTCGGACATTTAGTTTGTTAGTTTGGGAAAGTATATGGTCTTATGATGGATTTTGGAGCTCTGATCCCGTAACTAGATTAATGTTTATTAGATATATAGATGGGGAGATATCCTTGATTTCGGGCTATTGCTGATTATGTTTGAAGTTGATCCTTTTGGTAGGAGGATGTGATGTCATTGCCTTGTTCTTGTAGAGTTGGGAGGTGGACACCAACTAAGTCGTCCAAATGTCGCTCTGCTTATCATTTACTCCCTCCTCGCATACTCTGCTGGTGGGAAGCACCTTTAAAGCCTGATTCCAACCTAGTTCATCCACCGGCGGACTGCGGTTTGGTCGTCCGGACATTGTTGTTGTATAGGATAATGTCGGATAGGATAAGGATATGGTAGGATTTAATATCCCATCCAATATTTGTTGATGTCCAGATATAACATGGATTCAAATAAATATTATCCAAATGAATGCTCTTGATTTACAGGATTAAAATTCAAAAATAAACTATGGAAGTCGTGGGAAAACTATTCTGCTCTTCCACACACAAAACGACCTATAAATTGAAGGTTAGAATTGTACTCTTATACGTAATTGAAGGAGAAAATAGTTATTGGGCTTTGGGGAATTTTTCTCACTTCTAACCCTCCCTCCTCTCAAGATTTGCTGTGAACCTGATAAATTGAAGGTTAGAACAGCCTATACGTACCCCACTGAGCCCAATTAAACGACCTAAGCAAGAGCTAACAATAGTGTAAGTGATTTTCGAAAATCGCCTAAAGCATGGGATTTGCAAATACCGTAGGATTACTACCAGAGGTCCTTTCATTACAATGCCATGTTTACTTCCGTCCATTCCGTGTTTACTTCCGCCCATTAAGATGACATATCTTTAAAGATGTTTAACGCCCTAGAGGGAGAATGGGAATTGGGGCACAAGCTTATTCGAATTGTAATCCCCATATCGTTAAATGAGAGTTTTCGCCCTTTTACATTAATTGGTTGTGTTAGCTTGCGCAGACCAACCCGACTCTGATTGCCAATAGATTGTTGTTGAGTTATGTCATAGATCGTAAGAGAGGGACTTAACACAAACTAAGTGACATTCCGAATTTCGCTTCATTTTACTGATTTATAAACGTGTATTTCGTCCGGCGCTTATAATAAAATCTCGCGGAACCGATCACTCTTGGGTTATTATTTTCAAATTAGAGATTTCGCTAGAATCGCACCCGATCGAATTTGGACTGCTATTTGTGAGCCTAAACTTTGGTGTCGTATTTCTGAGTTCTAGGACGAATTTAATTGATGGTGCTCTATGCCAGTTATGGCTAGCCTTCGATATTACCCGCCAGGATATGTGAAAAGTGGATTTTTGACCTGCTGCGGATTTGGATTAGTAGACCTTTCGGGGAGTATGTTTTAGCTATTTTCTTTTGGCCCTTTTTCCTATATTATTAATTAGGATTTTCGTACCCGTTGGATCGCCCTTGGGCTTGAACGGCGAATCGTTGGATCGCCGATCATTACGCTGACTTTTGTCCTCTCTCTCTCTCTCTTCTCTCCGCCGTCCTTTCCCTCTCACGCTCACGCCCTCTCCCTCCGCACGGTCATTCCCTACCTCCTTCCTTTCTTCTTCTTCTTCGTCTTTGGGGCTGATCGCTGCTCCCGCTACTCTCGCCTGTGACTGGGCCACTAATGCTCCTGCGGCCTCACGGGGCTTCCACTTTCATCCGTCCCGCACGCCGCGCATCGTCCACCCCGCTCGCTCTGCCGCCGCCCTGACCGCCGCCGGCTTCACCGCCGCACCACCGCCACCCCGATGGCTTCACACTTCCCTCCCTCCTCGTCCAGCCTCACCGAGCTCCCACTCCTCCGCGCTCTTGCGGCCCAACAAAATGTCCAGGCCGCCCTTAATCGTCGTTGTCATCATCCGTCCAGCCGCTTCCTTCCCCCCGTCGATCAAGCTTAGCATGAGCGGGCAATGGCCGGGCCAAGGCCTAGCGCTCGGCCTACCCCGCCTGGGCCGCTCGCCGTCGCCGGGGCTCCCACCTCCACTGCTGGCCCAACTCCTTAGCCACCGTCTCCGCTCGCTAGCTCGCTGTCGTCAGCTGCCGCCGGTCGCCTGGGGCCGCTCGCCAAATGAGCTCCCGACCTCAGCCTTCGCTTGTCGGCTGAAATGGCCACCTCCACACAGCCTGCCTACTCCTATCATTGCCTCCTGTCATTTCGACCCACCCACTCCTCGAA